AAACCATGTGTTTGATGAGAATAAGCTTGAAGTAGAAAGCTTACAGCGAAAAGGAAGAAAGAAAAATGCCTCATACGGATTTAGTCATATTCTCCGAATGAACTTTTTAAAGATGACCAAACAAGTCGTCTTAGGATGGCCACCGAAGCACTTCAAAAATGGCACAACCGGAGAAGACAAAACAAAATCACTCTGGAAACCAACCTGCTGGACAGTGGCAAGGACCCGGACATCATTGAAGAGTTAGCGCTGAACCGAGAAGAATGAGCTAAGTCCATCGCCACGAGTATTCGCCACATCAAGAATGGGAAAAAGAAAAAGCTGAGAAGAGAGATGATATCACAAGAAAACAAAGAGCTCCCAAAATAACCGACGCTAGATGTTCTATCTGTGAAAGAATATGCAATACTATCACTGGTCCGAAAATCCATATCACTAAAAAGCATCGAAATAACAAGGAAGAAGAGAGTCTGAGAAAAGCCGCGCAACATTCGCCTCACGCAAAACAGTGCGAACCTCACAAAACAGTGCGGGTGAGCACCCCCGAAACGTGACCATTCTGTAAACTTTCTCAATCTAGGGGTTACTTAGCTACTAGACACAAAGGGGTTTGATAAGGAAAAGCAGCACAAGCTATCACCACTGTCGCGCCAATCACGAGGGGCTCGAACAGGTGAAGAACATGTGACGTATGCTGCGGCAACTTATCGTACTCCAATTTCGCAAGACATCGGAGAGTGTGTGAACCAGGATGATGATAATTCCGTCATGATAAATGCCTTCAAAAAGAAAAACAGTCAGTCCAGTCCAGACAGCTTTTAGAATTTTTAGCAGCTCAATGGATACGATTCGAAATCTTCATCTAAAACTAGCAGAATAAGAGTTTCACGGGCACATCAAGAAAAACATCCAGAGGTGATCAAGAATAATTAGTTTAATTTTTCAAAATAGATTAAAAAAAGTTTTCCGAATGACGATTGCAGGCCCATTTCCGTCAGCAACTCAAAATGAGAAAGCTGCCTACATCAACAAACAAATTGCTTTGAAATCACTTGTCTTAGGTCACTTTGATTATTTTTGCAACTTATTCTAGGAATCAGTACCAATCTAAGTCTTTTGAAAGCCAGTTGAACTTGACAACTAAATTTTCGTTCAGTTAAAAAAAACGTTTATGGTTTGATTCAATTGAAAACTTAAAAGAGAGGCGACGCACAGCTTCGCACCACTTGTGATACCAAACAAACGTAACAACGCAAGCAACTTTTGTCTCAACTCTGTTCAATTTGAGGAAAACTCATCCTGCAACACAACAAGCCAAAAATAAGAAATTATGCCACGTCATAATTGGTAATTTACAAATAACAGAAATGAATCAAAACTCTTTCTGTAACAAAACTTTTATTTGAAAATTCAATTTTCTCAGCTGTTTTTTTAGACAAAGGTGTTAAACCGATTCCAACCTAGGACCATAGCCGTGCCAAGACCAAGCTTACCGGAGAAGCTGAAAAATCAAACTATCGAATTATTCAAGTGATTTCGTTAAACTAATTGTTAACCCAATAAATTCTATATTCCGACTTGATAACGCTTACTAATAGCAAGCGTAACATAGAGGCGAAGATGAGTTTCGCACCACTTGCGATACAAATTTGATTTAAATCACGGAAAAATTTGAACAAAAAATTAGGAAAACTGTTCTTGTCAAAAAAAATTGTTAGTAAAAAAAAAGTGGTCTCGTGCATTTGTGTCTCTTCTAAGCCAGATGGTTGACTGAAATTGAATTTATAACTAACAAGCAATAACAAAACCGAAAATACCTGAGCAGAAACATTTCAGATCAAAAACATCAAAACAATTTTAAACTGATAAAAAAAATTTCATGTCCCTTTCCCCCCTCAGAGCACAACAACGCACACAAAATTTTCTCGATTTTCAAACGACGCAAAAGAAACCCACAAGGTCAATATAAAATTAACCAAAATTTAATTAGCCGACAAAAGATAAAATTTGAAAAAAAATATGAAATTTTCCCATATCGAGCTAGTAAAATTACAACCAATGAGCAAAAAAAAATACGATTCGGCCGGACATTTAAAATGCTAAAACACTTAACGCAACTAAAGTGAAAACTGTTTACAGAAAAAAAAAAACGATTCTTAGATGCGGCAACTAAGCCGACAAAATATGAGCAGACAAAAAATAGGCCGAAACCGGAATAGTTAACCGGAATAGTTAACCGTTTTTTTGAACCGGAATAGTTAACCGTTTGAAAAAAAACAGGTCCTAGTCAGATTTGAGCCCAAAACCTTTGCCGTCCTAGGCGTATTCGTTACCTCCAGGATAAGTGTACAGGAGACACTACGAAATTTGAATTCATCATGAACCAAGGTACCGCGAGTCCAGATGTGTCCTGTGGACGAAGTTGTTCACGGGAAAAAAGACTAGCACCCGATTGCTGTCCCGAGCATCTAAGTTGACTGAGCCCTAAATTCGTTTGAAACTTGATTTGATTATAAAACAAGTTATCAAATGTTTTCAGATAGCAGATAAGGCAATCCGAGTGATACGTGTTGCAAGCTTGAGAATCCCGAAATAAGAACGGTGGTTATTGGCGCGATGCGCCGACGCGAACTCACATCCAGATCCAGAGAAAGTATTATTTCACATTCTGTTATGTTGCTTTCAAATTTCGGCACAAACCCTTCACGAACGAGGACCTCGTATCGATTTCAGAGGATTATGATTGGTTGAAATTTTCTTTTTGGTGCTTCGCCATTAACAGTTGCATCATACCATAAAACAAGATATTATTTTTTAAATTCCAGGCATATTCGAAACTTCCAGCAAAATCTTGCCCATTTACGTCCAAAGCGTTTTACTCAAGAGCTGGCTAAACACAGACCCTATGAAAAAAACTAAAGTGATGAGTCCGTTGCTGATTTTTGGTTAAGTTTATAGCATAGATAGCTAAATTTGATTGCGTTTTCCTAACTTCGGCACTTTCAATTGAACATAGCCAACATACAGTAGGAAAAGAATCAATGAACACAAGGAAACAAAAAAAGACTTGTTCTTTGAACGTTTTAATTTTTTTTTTTAAATATGGCCTTAAAAAATTTTGAATTTCAATAAAAAAGAATTAACACTGGACCAAATGCGTGGAAAAAATCATCGCGACCTATATAAAAAATCTTGTTGTTGTAGCTACATCGATCTCTGCTTCGAGCTTCCGATTGAATTGGGAGATCGCCAAGGTTTGAGAGATAGAGAAAAAGTCAGGGAATTTTCGTTTTTAATCAGTATTCGTCATGTCAATCTTTCACTGCAGCTCCCACAAGGTCTCTAGCGGTAAAAGCGAGCAGCTTTAAATTAGTGAGGAGAGCCGAGAAACAACTTCCGTTATCTCAGGTTAAGTAATTCTGCCGATGCTTGGCAGCTTTTTCGGAAATCTCCCATAACCTCTCAATGGTAAGGATGGTGGGGTGTAACCGGCAATCTAAGAGATGTTCGGTGGTGCGTGGTCCTATCAAACAACTTGAGCAGATGTCGGGTACATTGTTGTTTAGTCTAGGTTGTTAACTATTTAAATGCGTCGAGTACCCTAAGATGTGAGACTGTACATCTGGTTTTCCGTTCGATTGTACTTTCGTTTGCTGATAATAGTGGTAGTATTTTGCCAAGTAGCTCAGAATCTTATTTAAGAAACTTCTGTACTTCTGATGTATGGAGACTCCTCTGACACAATCATGCTGAGAGATGCCTTCCTGCTTTTCGATAAGCAAGTGTTCAATGTCGGGTTTGAACTTATGTTCGAGTGTGGATCTGATGTTCTTGATAGTCAGCTCTGTGCTTTTGGTAGCAGCCTACCAAAAATTGCTTTGAGATCATTTCATTGACTTTTCGGACCGGAATATTTTTGTTTCGTCGTGTAAATGTGTGATGTCACTCATTCGTTAGCATCTTTCTGTTGCTCAAAGGACATTGCTCCTCGTCATTTGAAGGTGCTTCCAGTTGGTGTAACTTAGGGTGGCGGTCCAAATGGGAGCAGCATAGTTCAAGACTTGTAGGTCTTTTTGTAATGTTTGCACAAAAGTGAAGCTGCATTTCGCATACACAAGCAAAAATATGACCGATAACGCTACTGGGAAAAACTGAATGAGTAAGACTTTGAGTCTACAAAAGTTCTTAAAAGACGCACGTCAATTATGAGTCTGCGTAATTGCTAAGTGATGCAAGCCAATTATGACGCATTAGCAACACCGGTAAATTTGAATAAAAAAGAAATTTACCAAGTAACATGCCTCAATTTATATAGCGGACGCATTTTAACTAGTATACGAAAAAGTTTATTAGAACATCCGACGCTTCCCCGGTTCGAACCCCTTTTTCGTTGCTGGTCTCCTTCCTTACCTCTACGTTACAGATCCATGATACCTTGAAGCTTGAGTGCTATTTGTAATTTAATAGTTTTTGTTAACATCCTTAGCATTGGCTGTACTTAATAGCTGGTTATTGATCAAAATGAACACTTTCAAAATTAACACATTTGGTCGAAACAAAATTTGCGCCGCAACAATATTTGCGACTTAGGCTCGAAAAAGGAAAAAAAAAGCTTCGCTTATTTAATGATTAATGATAGTTCAGTTGATTGTCAAAAATGAATTTTTGGGTTGCGTGTTGTGGGTGGTTTGGAACCATCGACCATTATATTTTGTTCAAGGCAAAAATCCATAACCGAGTTAAAAAGATATATGTTGTTGATATTGTCTTTTCATAGAGACAGATTTCTGATCTTAAGCCAGTTGCTGAGGCTGTTTAGATATGGATTCATTTTTATATAAGGTTTTTGATGTAGGATTTTGATATAAGAGACTTCACTACCTTATCGACTCTTAACAATCAAGACAAACCGAGCAGAAGCTTTTTCGAGCAGCTGCAGAATACGGACTCAGTGTCGACATAAAGAAGAGAGTGACCAAACATAGCTTTGATGGACTTACATGCTGCAACTGCTTGAGAATGTTGACCTCGCTCAAGAAGTCATTGGCAGAGTTGCGCAGCACCCCACTTGTAGTTGCTGAGGGTGCTATGATTGTGCTAGTGAAGGACTTCTTGTCCACTATTTTCATGGCGAATTGACGGGAGAAATCTGCCTCGAGGAACACCAGAAACACATCCCCACACGCGCCTCTGAACACAGTTTTGAGGTATTTGACAAAAAAAAATTTCTGTATTTTGAGGACAACAAACTGTGCTACTTGCACAATAACCAGCTATCCTTGTTTTTAATTTACATTCGACCAAATGGGTTTGATATGCTCAGGTCTTTAGTGTTTCCCGCAAAGTTATTTCGGTAAGCAGGCAGGATCTACTCAACAATCCCTCTTTCAAGAAAGAGGGAGATTCTGTAGTAGATACAATAGGGTGGAGATTTTTAAGTAGATACAATAGGGGGGGGGGGGGGGAGATTGTTAATTAGATCCAACAGGCACAATGGAACAATATTAGAATTACGCGGGTGCCGGACATCAAGCCGACGGGACTTCAAGCCGAAACGTAAAGTTAGGGACTTCAAGCCAAAGATCTTCTCATTAAGTCATGATAATTGAATTATTTGAAAACTAAGGAATTTCCCATTTTCATCATCTTTCTTTAGTAGTTACAGGCATTTTCATAAAATTATCCTCCAAATGTGATGTTTAGGAAAGTTCAAAAATAAAAAACGTCTGACGGCAACTTTCTTGTTTACAATTTATGCATTCCAAAACCGGCTGATATCTTTAACGGATGCCAATCCTAAGTAATTCATTGTCATGAATAACGCTTATTATGGACTAAATATGCCTAAATTTTTGAAAAAACATTGTTTTGAAAAAACATGCGATTACGTGCGCTTACACCTTTGTTTTGCCGCTAATTTAGAATCTTGTGTTAGTTGAAGTTGATAGTTTTGTTGACAAATCGCAAGATAATTGTCTTAATTGGTGAAGCGTGGCCCCAGACTGAGCTTCTTTTTGAGTCTGTCAACCAATCAGCCATCACTTTATTACCTTTGTCTGTTAAAAGACTCGCTTTTAACTTTGTATGCTAAAAGAATAGTCTGTTAAACGATCGGTCCCTGTAGGTCATCTATCCTTAGAAGAAAATTGTTTTTTCTTTTGATCAATCATCCTCCCAACCAAGGAAGCTCATGGATTTCTCCCGATGCTGAACTTCTCAATGATAACACTACGCTCATATACAGTGCTGATTTAAATTAAGAGGACAAAACGAGCTAAATTTGAAATTTAAAAGGCGTTTTTCTCAATTTGGGTTGAGTTTAGGTGAAAAATTATGAAGATAAAACTTGCTTAAAAACTTAGCACAATTAGTATGGTGTAATTTGTTTCTCGAAAGTCTGGCCAAAAACTTTACCACAAAAATGGGTCATTTTGGCTTTTCTTAGCTTATCAAAAATTACGCCAAAAGTACCCAGTCGATCAAAGACATAATTATATCAAAGTGGGCCTCTTATGTAGCCCAACAAACTTCAAGACGGGTATGATCTCCAAAAAAAATTGCAAACTGTTTACATAAGTTTTTAAATAAAAAGTTGATATTTTATACAAAAACAAAAACAAATCACTTTATACCATGTTTAGGAGAATATACCCAGCTTAAAGTTTGTTGGGCTACATAAGGGGCTCACTTTGATATGATTATGTCTGTGATCGACTGGGTATTTTTGGCGTAATTTTTGATTAACTAAGAAAAGCCAAAATGACCCATTTTGGTGGTAAACTTTTGGGCCCGAATTTCGCAAAACAAATTACACCATTTTAATTCTGCTAAAATTTAAAGGTTTTCATAAGTTTTCACCTAAGCTCAACCCAATTTGAAGAAAACGCGTTTTAAATTTCAAGTTTAACGCGTTTTGTCCGGTTAATTTAAATCCGCAGTGTATCACGTCAAAAATTACTATTGAAACACAACGCTTAGCTAGCTATGCTATGGTTTTGAAATAACAACCAGTTGGCCAGACTAGGTTGGAACTCAAGTAGCCATAAAGAGAGTAGAACCCAGCCTCATACTGCAACGGAGAACTCATGATATACTGTTCGGTGAATTGAACGGTGGAATCCCTCATACGCGAAGGACCGAATGCGCTAAAATAAAAATCAGCCAATCAGATTTCAGTAAACTAAATTTGGAAAAAAAGTAAACATTTCCAGGGACTGAATATTGATATTGGCCGAAAACTCACTTCGCCGAATTGACCGTTTATTCCGAATATGACCGCCTTCGAATTGGAACAAAATTCATATTTCAAGGGTTTAGTTATGAAAGAAGCAAAATGTTGCTTCATTTAATTCATTTTAATTGAATGGCAATTGCTTCTTTTCAAAAAAATTGACTTTCGGCTAATTTTGTTTTCGGTCCTTCGCTCACAAATTTTTTCGCCCATTCAGTTCTTCGCGCATGTGAATAGACCCCGAATGAACTCATGGTTATGTGGCAATATTTAGATAACCGCGTATTCAGAGTCGTCAGTAAATAGACAAATACTGTATGAACCAATCAGAATTGAGACAAGGAAGAAATGATTAACTAATAAATATTTATTTCAAAAATTTGTTTTCTCATCTCGATTCTAATTGATTAATACAGTATTTGTCTGTATGGTTCATACAGTACTTGTCTGCGGGTGCCGGAAATCAAGCCGACGGGACTTCAAGCCAAAACGTAGAGCTAGGGACTTCAAGCCAAAAATTTTCTCATTAAGTCATGATAATTGAATTAGTTGAAAACTAAGGACTTTCCCATTTTCATGATCTTTCTTCAGTAGTTACAGGCATTTTTACAAAATTATCCTCCAAATGTAATGTTTAGGAACGTTCAAAAATAAAAAACATTTGACGGCAATTTTCTTATTTATAATTTATGCATTTCAAAACCGGCTGATATTTTTAAGGGATGCCAATCCTACGTGATTAATTGTCATGAATCACGCTTATTATGGACTAAACATGCCTAAAGTTTTGAAAAGCGACTTGTTTTTGATGCAACAAAATTGCGATTTGAGGTTCTTGTAAAGTTTCAATTTCGGCCTGAAGTCCCTTCGGCTTGAAGTAACGTCGACTTGTTGTCCTAGACCTCAATTACGCGTATAAAACAATTCAGTTTGTAAATTGTTCACATTCCTGTTAGAATTTGGATAGCGCAAACTAACTTCAGCGATCAAAGAGAGAAAGCGTCCAAAGTGGACAAACTCACAAAAAAAGTTACAAAATAATAACTTAAAAGTGTAACCAAAATGTAGCCAATAGTAACTAGTACCTTAAAATTAACCAGTTGGCAACCTGGACTTGTAGCTCATGGTGCTAGGGATTTTAGCAGACCGGTTTTTTAGCAGACAGGTTTTTTAACAGACACAGAACAATTATAAAGTGTGATAGCTAACTTCAAACGCGGCATTGGCGATTAGCGACCGCTTGTTCCGCTGCGCTTCAATTCAAAACGGGGAGGGTTCTCAAGCTTCAAGGCCCGAATGCTTGAAAAAATTCAACCAATCAAAATCGCTAAGCGTTTTTTTTGGCTAAATGCTTTTCTCACAAAAGCGAAGTCAGTATTAACAGAAAATGTATTAAATCAGATAAAAATAAAAATAAAAAAATTACAAATTGCCGGATACAAACGCATTACGATTCAGATACTCATCAAGATTATTTAGTTCAAACCCAAAAAAAAATTTCAGTCTTCAAAACTTATCTGCTTATTATCTATTTGTCAATATTTACTTTAATGGCCTGGATTTATTTTCTTTCTATGAGATTTTCGCGATTTTACTTTGAGATTTTGAATACTCAATTCTGATTGCTTGAAAGTAAGCTGAAAATTATTTTCAAGCCTTTGGTCCTTCAAGCATGAGGGACGCCACCAATTAACACCAGTTGCCGCTAATTTAGAATATTCTGTTATTTGAACTTGATAGTTTTGTTGACAAATCGCGAGATAATTGTCTTAATTGGGGAAGCTTGGCCCCAGACCTTTGTTTTGCCGCTAATTTAGAATCTTGTGTTATTTGAAGTTGATAGTTTTCATGCCAAATCGCGAGATATTTGTCTTAATTGGAAAAGCTTGGCCCCAGACTGAGCGTAATTTTGAGTCTGTCAATCAATCATCTATTTCTTTATTTTTTAACTTTTTATGCTTAAAGAAATGTCTGTTATACAATCGGTCCCCGTAGTTCATCTATCCTTAGAAAGAAATTGTTTTCTCTTTTGATCAATCATCCTCCCATCCAAGGAAGCTCATATATTTCTCCCGATGCTGAACTTCTCAATGATAACACTACGCTCATATACGGTGCTGATTTAAATTAACCGGACAAAACGAGCTAAACTTGAAATTCAAAACGCGTTTATTTTTCAAATTGGGTTGACTTTAGGTGAAAACTTATGAAGATAAAACTTGATTAAAAATTTAGGAGAATTGATATGGTGTAACTTAATTTGCAAAATTCGAGCAAAAAACTTTACCACAAAAATGGGTCATTTTGACTTTTCTTAGCTTATCAAAAATTACGCCAAAAATACCCAGTCGATCAAAGACATAATTATATCAAAGTGGGCCTCTTATGTAGCCTAACAAACTTCAAGACGGGTATGATCTCCAAAAAAATTGCAAACCGTTTGAATAAGTTTTTAAATAAAAAGTTGATATTTTATACAAAAACAAATCACTTTATACCATGTCTAGGAGAATATACCCAGCTTAAAGTTTGTTGGGCTACATAAGGGGCTCACTTTGATATGATTATGTCTGTGAGCGACTGGGTATTTTTGGCGTAATTTTTGATTAAGTAAGAAAAGCCAAAATGACCCATTTTTGTGGTAAAATTTTGGGCCCGATTTTCGCAAAACAAATAACACCAGTTTACTTCAGCTAAAAGTTTAAGCTAGTTTTATCTTCATGGGTTTTCACCTTAACTCAACCCAATTTGAGGAAAACGCGTTTTAAATTTCAAGTTTAACGCGTTTTGTCCGGTTAATTCAGATCCCCACTCTATCACGTCAAAAAATACGAACTTCTATCAGTTCTATCAGTTTTTAATTGCTTTCCAGTTTCCTTTTTTTTAAATGTGCTTTTAATTGGTACAATTTTGCTATTTTTTAACACTGATGATGACATAATGTCGAAAACGTTTTAACATTGATGTTTTTTCCCTGAGATCAAAAAATACGATTGAAACACAACGCTTAGCTAGCTATGCTATGGTTTTGAAATAACAGCCAGTTGGCCAGACTACGTTGGAACTCAAGTAGACGTAAAGAGAGTAGAACCCAGCCTCATACTGCAACGAATAACTCATGATATACTGTTCGGTGAATTGAACGGTGGAATCCCTCATACACGAAGGAACGAATGCGCGAAAAAAAAAATCAGCCAATCAGATTTCCGCTAACAAAAATTTGGAAAGAAAGTAAACATTTCCAGGGATTGAATATTGATATTGGCCGAATATATAAACGGCAGAAATATGCAAAATTTTCAAATGGTCACTGACCGCCGCCGAATTGGAACAAAATTTATATTTCGAGGGTTTAATTATGAAAGAAGCAAAATGTTGCGTCATTCATTTCCTTTTAATTGAATGGCAATTTCTTCTTTTCAAAAAATTGACTTACGACTAATTTTGTTTTCGGTCCTTCGATCACGAATTTTTTCGCCCATTCAGTTCTTCGCGCATGAGAATAGACCCCGAATGGAACTCACGGCTACATAGCAGTATTTAGACAACCGCGTATTCAGACTCGTCAGTAAAAAGAGAAATACTGTATTAACCAATCAGAATCGAGACAAGGAAGAAATGAGTAACTTCTAATTATTTATTTCGTAAATTTGTTTTCTCATCTCGAATCTGATTGGTTAATGCAGTATTTGTCTGTATGGGTAACACAGTATTTTTCTGCGGGTGCCGCACATCAAGCCGACGGGACTCCAAGCCGAAACGTTAAGTTAGGGACTTCAAGCCGAAAACTTTCTCATTAAGTCATGACAATTGAATTATTTGAAAACTAAGGAATTTCCCATTTTCAAGATCTTTCTTCAGTAGTTACAGGCATTTTCATAAAATTATCCTCCAAATGTGATGTTTAGGAAAGTTCAAAAACAAAAAACGTTTGACGGCAATTTTCTTGTTTAAAATTTAAGCCTTTCAAAACCGGCTAGTATTATTAACGGATGCCAATCCTTAATAATTCAATGTCAAGAATAACGCTTATTATGGACTAAAAATGCCTCAATTTTTGAAAATCAACATTTTTTTGACGAAAAAAAGCGATTTAAAGTGCTAGTAAAGTTTCAATTTCGGCCTGAATTCCCTTCGGCTTGAAGTCACGTCGGCTTATTGTCCTAGACCCCAATTACGCGTTTAAAACAATTCAGTTTGTAAATTGATCACCTTCCTGTTAGAATTCGGATAGCGCAAACTAACTTCAGCAATCAAAGAGAGAAAGTTTCCAAAGTGGACAAACTCACAAAAAAAGTTACAAAATAATAAAATTAAACTGTAACCAAAATGTAACTAATAGTAACTAGTACCTTAAAATTAACCAGTTGGCAACCTGGACTTGTAGATCATGGTGCTAGGGATTTTAGCAGACCGTTTTTTAGCAGACAGGATTTTTAACAGACAGGACAATAATAAAGTGTGATAGCTAACTTCAAATGCGGCATTGGCGATTAGCTGCCATTTGTTCCGCTGCGTTTCAACTTCAATTCACAACGGGGAGGAGGGTTCTCAAGCTTTAAGGACCGAATGCTTGAAAAATTTCAACCAATCAAAATCGCTAAGCGTTTCTATTGGCTGAATGCCTTTCTCACAAAATCGAAGTCAGTATTAACAGAAAGAAAATGTATTAAATCAGTGGGAATTAATCAAAAATAATACAAATTGCGGGTTACAACCGCATTACTAGATAAATAATCATCAAGATTATTGAGTTCAAAACCATAAGAATTTTTCAGTCTTGAAAACTTATCTGCTTATTGTCTATTTGTCAATATTAACTTTAATGGCCTGGATTTATTTTCTTTCTATGATATTTCCGCGATTTACTTTGAGATTTTGAATACTCAATTCTGATCGGTTGAAAGTAAGCTGAAAATTAACTTCAAGCATTTGGTCCTTCAAGCATGAGGGACGCCACCAATCAACACCAGTGTTATTGTGCGCGTCAACCTTTGTTTTGCCGCTAATTTAGAATCTTCTGTTTTTTGAACTTGATAGTTTTGTTGACAAATCGCGAGATAATTGTCTTAATTGGGGACGCTCGGCCCCAGACGTTTGTTTTGCTGCTAATTTACAATCTTGTGTTAATTGAAATTGATAGTTCTGTTGTTAAATCGCGAGATAATTGTCTTAATTGGGGTAGCTTGGCCCCAGACTGAGCGTCTTTTTGAGTCTGTCAATCAATCATCCATCACTTTATTACGTTTGTCTGCTTAAAGACTCGTTTTAACTTTTTATGCTAAAACAATTGTCTGCTAATCGATCGGTCCCCGTAGGTCATATATCCTTCGAAAAAGTTTGTTTTCTCTTTTGATCGATCATCCTCCCAACCAACGAAGCTCATAAATTTCTCACGATGCTGAACTTCTCAAGGAAAACAGTACGCTCACATACAGTGCTGATTTAAATTAACCGGACAAAACGAGCTTAACTTGAAATTTAAAACGCGTTTTTCTCAAAATGGGTTGAGTTTAGATGAAAAGTTATGAAAACAAAACTAGCTTTAAATTTTAGCAGAATTAATATGGTGTAATTTTGGTGTAATGATGTAAGTTCATGAGTATAAGTTTTCACCTAAACTGACCCCAATTTGAGGAAAACGCGTTTTAAATTTCAAGTTTAAAACGTTTTGTCCGGTTAATATAAATCCGCACTGTATCACGTCAAAAATACGATTGAAACCCAACGCTTAGCTAGCTTCGCTATGGTTTTGAAATAAAAACCAGTTGGCCAGACTAGGTTGAAACTCAAGTAGACATGAAGATGAAGAGAGTAGAACCCAGCCTCATACTGCAACGGAGAATTCATGATATACTGTTCGGTGTTCGGTGAATTGAACGGTGGAATCCCTCATACGCGAAGGACCGAATGCGCGAAAATAAAAATCAGCCAATCAGATTTCAGTAAACTAAAATTTGGAAAGAAAGTAAACATTTCCCGGGACTGAAATTTGATATTGGCCGAATATATAAACGCAGAAATATGCAAAATTTTCAAATTGTCACTGACCGCCGCCGAATTGTAACAAAAATTATATTTCAAGGGTTTAGTTATGAAAGAAGCAAAATGTTGCTTCATTTAAT